TTTTTAATAGTGATTAATATCTTAGTATCCATTCACTTGCTATGATTCCTAAAATGAAAAAGCACTGAGAAGGTAGTGAGTGTGTTAGGATAAAATTTGTCTATATTAGTGGGGAGGCAGAGGGAGAGAATCTCCAGTGGACTCCATGCTTAGCATGGAGCCCAACTTGGGGTTCGATCTCACAACCCCAGAATCATGACTTGAACTGAAATCAAGAGTTAGTTGCTTAACTGACTGAGCCACACAGGAGCCCCTTAGCATAATTTTTTTTGAATGTAGGAAGGCCAAATCTAGGAGGGCTTTGAAGTCTCTGAATATTTCAAGGGGCCAAAGAATGAGGGCAGGCAGGGAAAGCAAGTGAAGGAGAAGAGTAAAGAGAGGAATAAGAGACTGAGGAAAGAAGAGTTGGTTTGGGGATAATAATAATTTTTTTAACTAAGAGGTGTATCTCCACATCCTAGAAGACTAGAGTTCTGTGCCTAAATTATAATGTGAAATATATTTTTAGTTATATTGTTTTTCTCTCAAGTTGGGCTTCCTTTACTACAGCTGTTTTCAACCTAGTTTTTAAAAAGCTTCCTTAGGCTGCACTAATTACTAGGTCATATTAAGTTTTCCTTATCTATTTTCCAGGTACAAGCTAACACTCACTTTTTGCCCATGTCTATGTTTTAGGCCCAAGAATTGTGTTGAAACTCCACATATGCTTTAAGCTGACTTCTGACTTTAGTACAATCCTAGATCTGAGAATTGTATTCTGTTTTACAGGACCAGGTGACTTAGGGCAGTGGGGTTAAAGACCTGGAATATGATCAAGCATGTGTTAGAGGAACAGAAGCCCACTGCGGGGCAGTATGTAACTTGCCCTGTGTATATCTTGCCCTGGAACAAAAACAGATTACCAAATAAAGGCTATATGGTTTTGTAGTATCCCATGCTCCATTTTAAAAGTAGTATAATAAAAAGGAAGAGCCAATTTTTACTGACTACAGGAAAATTTGTATTCAAATTCTTATGAAGGTGTAGACTGAAGACTTTAATAGTATATATAAATCTTTTTTTTTTTTTTAAGATTTTACTTATTTGAGAGAGAGAGAGAGAATGAGAGGAGAGAGGTCAGCAGGAGAAGCAGACTTCCTGCCGAGCAGGGAGCTGGATGTATGCCTCCATCCTGAGACTCCAGGATCATGACCGAGTGGAAGGCAGTTGCCCAACCAGCTGAGCCACCCAGGCACCCACATGTAAATCTTCTAATCAAAAGGGATGCTCTGAAATCTGTCAGAAACAGATTACATCCCTGCAGAAGTTTTGAAAGAATGCAATATTTTATCATAAAAAACAGCACAGTTTTAAAGTGAGACAAGTCTAGTGCAAATATCTATCTCAGGGGGCGCCTGGGTAGCTCGGTGGGTTAAAGCCTCTTCCTTCAGCTCAGGTCATGATCCCAGGGTCCTGGGATCGAGCCCCGCATCGGGCTCTCTGCTTAGCAGGAAGCCTGCTTCCTCCTCCCTCTCTTCCTGCTTGTGATCTCTATCAAATAAATAAATAAAATCTTTAGAAAAAAAAAAATAGCTATCTCAGTGCCTATTTAGCTACAAGTCCTCCATCAATTTATTTACGTATTGATAGCCTGTTTCTTTATTTGTGAAAAGTGAGGTAATCCTACCTTGCTGTAATCATTAAAAGAGTAATTGGAATACCAAATGCATAGTACTTAACATGGTGACTGGCATGTGGGTAGGAATCAATAAATGGTAACCAGGATGTTCGAGAGGTAGAATTACATAATGGAAAGAACTTGGACTTTGGAGTTAGAATCCCTGGTTAGGTGCTTACTTAAAGTGTAACACTTGAATAAGTTAAGTAATCTTTTGATCTTCAATTATTCCACATTAAAATGAGGTATTGCCTACCTTGGAGGGTTGTTTTGAGATTAACTGAGGTAATTTATTTAAATTATCTTGCTAAGTGTCTGATATATATATAATAGAGTCTCAAATGTTAACGTTCTTACTACCACTTATAGGTCATGTTGTGAAACTTTGGTGAAATGTGTAAATTATTTTAAGTTATCATCAGTGTTTTCTTCATTAAAAAATAAAAAGGACTCAGATGACCCTAAGAATTATGAACAATTACCTGCTTACCTGCTTTCCTTTTCCTGTCTTCAGACTGGTGAAATTTCTGTTGAAAAGTAAGATTCTTCTATATATGAATCATTTCTCATAACTTCTGTATGAAAAATGCTGTAAATATAAAATGAATAATATGATTTCTATTGTCAACAATTTGATCTAGTAAGAATAAGAAACATAAATAGATCATTATTATACTATATGATGTGTTATTTAATGTATGTACAAAGTAAAATCGTAGTACAGAGGACATATGAGCAGGAAGTGAGTTAATAAAAGAATTTGAAGAAGGTTAAAAGGTAATACTGGATTTGGACCCTTAACATCATGGCTTAGTAAGAGAGATAATAGCAGTTAACACTGGTCGCTTAACTATGTACCTAACAATAGTCTAAGCTCTTTACATGTTTTAATTTCTTTAATTTTCACAAGGAAAGTAGATGTTTTATAGATAAACTGCACAAGGACATAAAGCAGTTTGCAGTTAGTAGGTGATTAGAACTGTTATTCAAACCTAGGTAGTTTAGTTCTAAAACTCAAACTTAAAAATCACGACACAATACTAGTTCCATTTACTTCATCACGTTTAAGTATCCTAATGACATAGTGAAAGGAAATATCCAGTATTCACCTGCTTAATCCATTAAAATAAGTGACTTCTGCAATTATCATATGGTTTCACTTACTTGTGGAGCATAAGGAATAACATGGAGGACATTAGGAGAAGGAAAGGAAAAGTGAACTGGGGGAAATCAGAGGGGGAGATGAACCATGAGAGACTATGGACTTGAGAAACAAACTGGCGGTTTTAGAGGGGAGAGGAGTGGGAGGATGGGTAGCCTGGTGGTGGGTATTAAGGAGGACACGTATTGCATGGAGCACTGGGTATGGTACATAAGCAATGAATCTTAGAACACTGTATCCAAAAAAAAAAACCAAAAAACAAAACTAATGATGTATGATGTATTTTATAGTGACTAACATAACGCAATAAAAAAAAATAAAATAAGAGTGACTTCTAGAGTTAACTGAAAATTTAGTACCTGAGTTTAGTGCCTATGTGGCAACACTGTGAAATTTATTGGGAGTATCAAGGGTGACCCTCTGTTGTGCTTATGAATAAATATAAAATCAAATGATTTTTAAAAAGCTAATTAGAGCAGTGCTGTGGGTTGGGGGGGATAAGGAAGGATTTCATTTCCTTCAAATTCTTTTTATATCTTTTTCAGACTTAGTAGGGCCATTAAATCTTTTCCTATAAACTTTAAAAAAGGGTAAAGGTAGTGTATAGAAGAAAGGCAATCTTCTGCCCAAATTCATGAGACCCCTTGGGAGGTACCTATTGTACCCAGTTTAGAAATCAATTACTCTAGCTTTTATTATAGAGATACCAAGAATTTAATAATTTCTTCCTGAATATTGGTTAAGTAGACCACCTACTTACTTATTTTTGTAGTTTAGTTGTGGTATAGGTTCTAAGTACAGAAACAAATAACAGTGATGAGGAGTATGCATATGTTGGGTTATTTTAATTAAAAGTAAACATCAAATGACAGGTTGATACTAGAACGAGACAGTAAAATCCATGTGAACCTCAGCAACTCAAAATTTGCAGTAGTTCAATCATAGTATATATGCATTTTTACAGTCAGAATTAGAGATAATCAAATTATAGTTCCATGATATGGTTAAAAAGGAATACAGGAGAAAATACAATTGTACATTGGAATTGTGCCTACAAGTTGAATAACATGTTGCAATCAAATGACCGTTTACATAGAAGATCGTATCTGTATAGGAAAATATTTAGAAAGGAGCAATAGGGATTATGTTGAACAGAGTTACTTTGTGTACTCATTTTCCCTTCTAAAAAATAGTAATTTTAAAGCTGATTTTTGCTTAGTAATGATTGTGAAATAAAGTTAACTTTTAAGTGTTTCTAATTAATTTTTTATTCCCTTACATAGATTTTCAGCTCCGGGAGGACAGGATTTCCATTTTATAGTTCTTTGTTGTCTCTATAAATTGTACAGTGCCCTGTATCTCATGTTTGTTGAATAATTAACAATCAGTTTATTAACTGAGTTTGCTATACGCAAGTGGAAACAAAACATACTTTAAGATGTTCTTTCTAAAATAGTGATTATGTGCCTGTATGTCTCTCTTTTGTCATGTTAGATACACGGAGTAGATATGCTTCAATGTGTGGTATGAATTGGATTTCTTTAAGAATGTAGATTTATTTTCCCCAGTGTTTTCTGATTGCACAAATGACTGGATGCACTTTTTAAAGGGAGATTTTTACTTTGTTTAAAACTGGTTATTGAATACTTCCAAAGGCAGCCAATTAAGTGAGTGCAGAGCTAAAGGAATAGAAAAACCTTGTTTCCTAAGCTGCTGAGAGGATTTTCACATTAGGTTGGCTTTAGACCATAGTCTTCAGAGTGTAGTTTTGTGCAAGTTCCTGACTATGGACGTCATTGTTAAAAGGTAAGTTGGTTTTTTTTTTCCTTATGTAATCTCATTTTAAGTTGTGAAGTAGATTTTAACTGAGCAGAAGTAATGTGACTTTTTTTTTTTTGCCAAGTCTTAGTATAATAAATTCTGATACCGTGCAACTCATTGCAGATTTTGATAGTTCTGTTCATATGTCAAGAAACCCATGTTTGTTGATATGTCTGTTACAGGTAGTTATAGTTTAATGTTTGCTTTTACTGGGGCTTGTTTTGATTCATCATTTTTATTTGACTCACTAGCAGCCATCTGTTAGTTATATTTTAACTTTCAAGGTTCTATGTAATTTGGTTTTTGTTAATGAAGTGCTATAAACAGTATTATGAAGCTTTTCTCTTTTAATCTTGAAAGGAAAAAAATCCGTATCTAAAAAAGCAATCACAAAGAAGAGGAAAACTGTTACAAAGTCATCTACTGTACCAGAATTTCAGGTAAATATTTCAATTTTGTCTCAACATTTTGTAGTTTAATTTTTTGTTTTAATGTTTGTTTATATTGTTCCTCAAGAGATTGGCTAAATTCCACTGTAATGGGTATACTTTCAATGAAATGTTTCCATCTGTGACTTTTTCCCCTTCAAGTACAAGGCATAGTTAAAATTGAATCTAATGTTTCAAAATTTTTTACCTCTGTTTTTGTCTCTTTGTAGCCAAAAGTCTCTTTGGTTTTTAAATGCTATACTGCTTTGTAGAAGTAGTTTAATAGAAAATACATTATATATTATAAGTATAATAATATAGATATTTATATAACATATTTATATAACAATATATGAAAGTAAGTATGTAAGTCTTCCAAGAATAAATCATAATTTGTAAATAATTTGTAAATAAGCAATTTATTTTCATTTATTTGGGCACTGTAATAATGGTTGACACAAATCTTTTAACTCTTAGCTATATAGGAACTTCAGAAAGAATATTAAGTAACATTTAATTGAATGGTCTTTAAACATTTCTGCAAAAAGAAAAAAGTATACTTAGTGCCATATTATTATTTGACGAGTTTTCATTTGTAGCTGGTACCAGAATAAGCAGAGATTCTCACTTCAAATAATACTTTTATTTTCTATTTTATAAAAAATGTGTTTTCTTCAAATGACCCTCTTTAAAACTTTCTTTGTATTACTGTGTCCAATCCAGTTTCAAAAGTTTTATAACCTAATACTTAATTGCCAAAAAATAAGTGATGTTAAAATGAATTTTTGTCAGTCTCAAGTCAAGGAGAAAATAAAGGAGTAATAACTATGAAAATATTGATAATATATAATGTGAGTTGATCATATATATTTGACTTTTTGAATATAATTTTTTGAATATATACATTCAAAAATGTGGACACATCTATTTTTCAGTAAAAACCTTATTTTTGGAACTGTTTTTATGAAGTTACTAATTGGTAAAAATTTAATATTTTTAAATGAGCAGTGAAAGAAAATGACAATTTTCTTTTAGTATTTTAGGATAGAATATTTTTAATGATATTCTTTGAATTACAAACATTTTTACAAAATCACTTTTTATAATATAACCTTGGTTACAGGATATTTAGCGGAAAATGTATGTTTACTGTTTTACTTGGAGGACTTTCTAATCATTGCTTATACCTCTTACCATACTTTAATAGTATATTGTTATTCTGTCACTGATATCATCACAGCCTTTGCTGTTTTCCCCACTCACTCTTCCCCTCAATACCTTAAAATATTCGATCCAGGAATATAAGTCTCAGAACAGATCTGGCCTGCTGTTGCTGTTTATCTCCATTCCTATCCTAGTGAATGGACTTTCATATGTAATAAGTGGCGTAGACAGCATGGACAGTGTTTTTCAAACGGCAAATGGTATTCATTAGTGAGGCATGAGATTAATCTAGTGGATTACATGACCGGCATTACTTTTTTAAGCTAACAGTTAAAATAGAAAAGAAATTATGAGTGTGTCAGATATAGTAAGGGTAATACCGTTTCATGAAACTTTGGTTTTGATCTTGTGCTTATTGTACTGGCATGCAGTGTAAAATACATTTTTGACTATGGGTCATGAGCAAAAAAGTTTTTAAAAAGTTAAAAAAAAGTACTAAATGATGCTTTGTCAATTACTGACCGTTTGCTTATCACCCTCAGAAACTTAAGGTGAAAGTTTGAATTTTGCCAAATTGAACTGTTTAAAATAAATAAAATCTCCTTCCTAGTTCTTAAGGTGTCCTAGAATGTGTGTGTGTGTGGGGGGGGGCGGCTAGGATGGGGAATAGGCTTATGAGAACTGTGGTTCTTATGCCTAGTTTATAATATGAATGCCATGGTATTACTCATAAAGAAAATTGACAGCTGTCTCCCAGGAAATAGGTCATTTGCTTTAAATAAGCAAAGAACAGGAGATGAGACAGTATTAGTCACTAGTAAATTTTGTTGTTACAGACAAAACCTATAGTTCTGCCTTTCAAAATAACTTTATATATAGTTTGTTTCTTTCATTATTTGGAAGTTCCCCACATGTAAGGAACTGATCATTATGTAATAAAGAAGCAAATTTATTTCCTTCCTGAAAGCTCTAGCAATGTCATTTAGCACCTCAGATTCTACAAATTATTCCTTTGTATTTTGTTTGGTTTTGTTTTTTTGTTTGATTTTGTTTTGTTTTTTTTTTTTAGAAAGGATGATAGGCATGGGGAAGGTTAGAGGGAGAAGGAGAGAGCAACTCCATGCCCAGCTTGGAACCTATTGTGGGGCTCCATCTCACAATCCTGAGATTGGACACTTAACTGACTAATCCACCCAGGTGCCCCTGCAAATTATTTATTTTATCCAGGTTCTTTAAATATCACATTTCTAGTATTACACATAAAAGTACTTTATAGAAAAGTTTAGCTGGAAGATTTTCTTCATAGTATTTATTCTAAAATATCTTTGTGCTAAAAATAATGAAGCTGTTGGTGGAGAGATATCAGATCCCTTTTGCAAAACCTGATTTGTCAAAGGACTAGTCCATCTTTAAATTGATTTAAACATGCAAAGAGAGAAATGTGTTGAGGGATTAAATTGTGAAGTTTATTTTTTGTTAAGTCCTCATGCATAAAAAAAGTGAGTCCTGTTTTGACCTCAACTACTTTCTAATTTGTCATTGTTTTTGTTGACTTTTTTTTTTTAAAAGCTAGAAATTAACCTAGTCTGCCTATTGGCTTCAGGAGGAGTCCATGTTTACATGTACACCTAATATCTATACCTCAATTTAAGAAAATAATTATCCCACCTTTATTTAAGGTCTACACTGTAGAAACTCAAATGGTGGATTACATTTATTTTTGTGTGTGTTGTAAAGGAACTAACCATATCCGTGCCACTTGTGTCAAGAGTTATATCAGTGGTTCTCAAACTTTAGGTAGTATGAAAATAATGTGATGCCCTTATTAAAATGAAAATTCCTGGGTGTTATCTTCCAAGATTTCATCTTTGATTCAGTGGGTCCAGGTGGATACCAGTAATGTGCATAGTGGTTAAGCATATGGATTCTGGGACCAGGCTACATAGGTTCTAATGTCAACTTTACCACTAACTCTGTATTCTTAAGCCCTTTGTACGTCCAGTTCCTCCTCTGTATAGTCAGGTAGTAATCATACCTACTTCATAGGGTGTTGTAAGATTAAATGATAGAGCTTACTGTTTTATTCTTATTTATTCTTTCAAGTAAGCATGCCACATGCTTCAGACCTAAGTAGTGTTATGAGTAGGAAAATCAATTAAGAACTGGCTTAAAAGCATATATCATTGACCTTTACCACTTTTCTTAGCTACTTAAGACCTTGAAATAATCTTGGATTCGGTCATATTTCATAAATCATAAAATATCATGATAAAGTCTATAATAATTTGAAAAGTGAAAAACCAAATAATATTATTTGCATCATTATGTTAATCAGAGGGAAAACTTCTGCTTAGCTCTACTGTAGTGTTATGGTGGTTATAGTTGGCATATGGGGAACTTAGGTTTTTTAATTTAGTAATAGGTCCAAAATATTAGGAAATACTTCTTTTTTAGTGTTTCGCATGTTGGTGATTTAAGCTTTTGTATCATATTTAACAATTATGACTTTGTTAAATTGACTAAATTATTTATTTTACCAGTTTTGTAGTATAAGAAAGATTGTTTAGCTGAAAAGTAAATACCATTTTTCTTAATAAAGTTAATTTTTGCCAGTACACCTTTTTGAAATTTAATATTTGAGAAAGAAATCTAATATTATGTGAATTGTCATTTTGTACACAATTGTAACAAAGTCATAGAAAGTATTTTTAAAATTTAATGTGTTCAGTCTCAGTAAGATCAGTTTTTAAAATAATGTAAGAGCCTTAGTTACCATGACTTTGCTTTTCATTGGTAACTAGTATCTTTGAATGTAATGTATACTTGCTACTGTTGCATAAGTGTGACTTATTCTAAAAGTGCTTTGCAAAGAAATTCCAGAATCCAGATGATAAGACTTATATAGTAGTATTGTTTTCAAACAGAAGCATAAATTCATGGATCCTTAACCTCTGAAAAAACTATATTTCTCCATTTAACCAGTGGAGAAACTAAAGATATGAAATAAAGTAACAGATTGAGACCCTCAGTATAACAAGTTGAGTCCAGAATTAAATTGGAGTTCAACTGCTTCACTGTGTTATGGACCTTTTGATTATATTATTTTGAATAATATGAATAATGTAAATGTAAAATGTATTTTCAGCTTCAGCTTTTTGATTTATTTCTAACAGTGTGTGTTTTACTTCCCTCTTAAAATTCTTTCTGTTTTTAAATATTGTGCACTGAGAGAAACGTGTCTCATTAATAAATATAAATATCTTGTTAATCAGAGTTATTTTTCACATCCCACATAATATCCTATTTGCAGGTTTTGAAGCAGTCATTCTCCTTGTTATGGTAATCATAAGAAATGAGAAGGATTTTTCCTATCCTTATAGTTTTAAGATGTTAATATAATTTTAGTTTAAATACAATATGAAATTTGAATTTATACCATGAATTTAAAATTTTGCTTACAATTTTTATAATAAAGTATAGGTTTGTTGTATTAGCATAGTAATGAGTGAGAGATCCAGTTTTTTTGGACCTATTCATTTTGACTTCTGCATTGTTTTCCCTTGGCTTTTTTAATTTACTGTATTGCTTTAGTTTTATATGCTACCTTATGTCCTTTTCGGAACAAATAAAGTAATTGTCTGTAAACCCAAAGGGCATAATTTCTAATTTGAAGTAGTGATAAAGTAAGGAAGGATTTATTTGCAGTTTTTCTGAGATAATAGTCATGGAATTCTTTTGATCTCTACAGAACCTTCCCTCTCCCTCTATATATACACATTTCTGCTTCTTGAGTTGGAGAAGAGGGCCTTTTAATATTTATCACTTAATAGAAATGAAAGCTTAGGTATGAACTAAATCCTAAAACTATAAACACATATTCCATTGTTATTAGATTTTTTTGTCTTGTTTAGAAAGACCCCTTAAAGAATATGATATATTAGGAGGTAGATGAGTTCTTCATTTTCTGGTCTCCTCTACCAGTGTGTCATCTTAGGTTACTTTACCTCCGTTAGTTTTAATTAGTTCGAATATGAGTTGGAAAGATACCTTTTTAGTCCAAAAATTACATATTTTTAGTCCTTTTCAGCTCTTAAGATTTATGATTTTATGGCTCTGTCATGGGTTGCCTCAAGTGAAATGTTGAGGGACAGTATAAAGCCTTCAAGAGGTTTTCCTGGGGGATAAAACTCTTTGTAATTTCTGCGGTGTGACTGAAAACCTCTCATGAGTGTTAATGGTATGTTCCAACTGTGATCTGACCTGCTGTGTAGCTTTCCTTTTTCATCCCTCTTGGCCCTGAGCCTCAGATATTTTTTTCTAATCCAGGGTAATGAGAAGGAGGTTTTAATAAGGTGTTTTACTTTGTTCAAAAAAAATGCTTCTGTTTTCCTTATAGATGAACTTTATTTATTGGATTGATTTTGGGTTTGTTTGTTTTTTTTTAAGATTTTATTTATTCATTCGACAGAGAGAGATCACAAGTAGGCAGAGAGGCAGGCAGAGAGAGAGGAGAAAGCAGGCTCCCCACCAAGGAGAGAGCCCGATGCAGGGCTCGATCCCAGGACCCTGGGATCATGACCTGAGCGGAAGGCAGAGGCTTTAACCCTCTGAGCCACCCAGGCGCCCCATGCATTGATTTTGTTTTGAAAAGCACCATTTGAAGTTGAGTCATGTTTAAAGGCCACACATATGCCTTACTATGTAAAAGACAAAGAATAGAGTGTATACTGGCTTGAGTCAGATTATTTTTCTTTCAATATTAGTTATAGTTACAATTAGTAACAATAGAATTATGTTTCTATACGTGAATTTTCTCAGAGCTGAACTTGGCCCTATATTTTCAGTTATCTGTATTAGATATATATTATATCTATTTGTAGAGAGTATAGAAAGGGATTGTAAATTGTTATGTAACTATTAATTCTTTTTAAGATAAATTCAAAGTATTGCTAAAATATTTTCACCCTCAAATTCAATAAAATTTATGTTTGAGAGTCACGTCATATAAGGAATATTTATCTTATCATTGTGCATTTATTTCAGCATTTTATCCCCTGTTTGGAAATTAGTCTTTTTGAATCTTCATATTCCTTAGCTACATAGTACCAGAATATTTCAGGAGCCAGGAAAATTTGGAATTCATAATCATTTAGTACCTTACTGCTTAAAAGTATGATCTGCAGCCCATACCTGGGAACTTGTTAGAAATGCAGAATCTCAGGTCCCACCTCAGACCTACTAAATCAAAAACTCCATTTTAACAAGATTCCCAGGTGATTCTTACGCACATTAAAGTTTGAGAAGCACTGATTTACTTACTAACCAGGTAAGCCACTTCAAAGTACTGATTTATATAGCCATATAGCTCTTAAGCTGTGGAATCATTCAGTTTGACGTCAGAACTGTGTTCTTCTTCCTTTAAATAGAATATAAATATTTGTTGATTCCATGAATTGAAAGATTTTAATTGTCTTAGAGTGTGTCTAGTTGTAGAGGTGTATGTTTTCATTGTTGTTCTAAGTTTCTACAAACTATATACACAAAATGTACCCTTATTCCTTGTGTAATGAGACATCTAAGATGCAAGTGAAAATTCTTCTGAGCTTTGCCATCTGTGCAAATGAGAAATCTATGTTATGATATTTAGTGCACCAAATTCAGTGAAATGGCATGTAAATATCTGCTAGTTCTGGGGCACATATGACTTGGTGATCAAAATAGCAGATTATACAATGAGAAGTTTAGTTCCCACTGAGTGCTTACTAAAAACCTGATGTAGGTCCAACAAGATAGAAGTGGAAGACATTACAAAGTTCTAGAGGCACTTCCATAGTTGTTCTGTCCACTGCTTACCAGCATTTCTTCCATAACTCTAGATTTGGCAAATAATTTGGCAAATAATAAAATACAAAAATTGTATTTTATAGTAAATATCAGCAGCACTGTTCTACTAAATCATTGTGTACTGTTTTCTACTCTGGAATTATTTAGTTTGGGTTCCTTAAATGCGTATTTTCTCTGCATTGTCAGTTCTTTGAGTTTGAAATTATGTAGACATTTCCAATAATAATTTTAATACTAATTAAAATAATAACTGATAATTTTTCTTAACCTATTAGATTGAACCATATTGTCATTTATGTAGATCAAATGCCATGTAATTTCACATGGTATTATATAGGAAGTTTAAAGGGGCCCTACTTTCCCATTTTTGTCACAGTAGTCACAAGAAATGATCTTGTTTTAACCCCCTTTTCTTTTGTTGTTTTTGTTTTCTTTTACAAGAAATATGCCTTTTAGGAAAACAATACCCTTACACAAAGATTCATGAATGTAACAAACATGGGCTGATATAATCTTATGGTAAATTAATAGTTTTCTAAGTGTAGTATTATTTTTAAATTATCACAGTATAAACATTTACAAGACTTTGATTAATCTAAAACTTTTCCTCTCTATGTGCTGTTTTTTTTTGTTTTAGAAACCTATTTCTTTTCCATTATAGATTTTTAAAAATATGAGCTTAAGTTATTTTAGGAAAAAAGTTAAATATATTGGGAAAAACTAATTTTTTAAAGAACTAAAACGTAGTTATTAATATTTTGGTTGTTGCTGACACTTCACTGTTTAAAGCTTTAGTAGTTAATACAAACTAGTTTGATTACTCATAACTAAAACCCAATTATTTTGGCCATTTGCCAGTATTACCAAGGTGAAGTAAAATGAACTGCATAATTTTGAAGGGAAATAGATACTATCTGTAGCAATGGTTTTGTTAAAGATTACTAAGATCATATTAAGAATGGGTACTTAAATTCATTTACTTTTTTGAATATATTACAGACAGTGGAAATCCTTCTTTCTTAGCAATGCCAACAGCAGTATAATTATTTTAGTTGTATAATTAGTGAACCAAATCAAAGGTATAATGACAGTTCTCCAGGGGTGCATTTATTCACCAACTAGGAGACTGCCTGATGAAGCATTTCTTAAAGGTGATTTAGTAACCTGTGAAATCTAGGGTGAGTTTCCAGATCTTTGTCATTCTGGGCTGAAAGTTAATAATGTTAAGAAAGTATCTGGATTATAAAGCAAGCTGAGAACAGGGAAGTGTGGTATGAAACCACCAGTGTTGAAATTTCAGCTATTTTTATCCTAAGCCTGAAGTTCATGCATTATAAAAATAGTATCTTTTAAAATATAAACTTGTGGGGCTTTCTTTGCTTTTTGCTATTACAAATACAAATAATTGTGAATTTAGTATATGTTAAAACAACTTCTGTTACCACATTTTGGTTTTATATTATGTGTTATCAAGCTGTGTTTTTGTGTTTTATTTTAGCTTATTTGCACTAATCTTGATGAACTCAGGGAATTAATCACAAAAATCGAGAATGAACTCAAAGATCTGGAAAACAGTAGAAAAAAATCGGTAGGTGTTGATGCAAAAGTTCTATCTATTATTGTCAGCATTAAAATTTATTCCTGCTTTTTTCTAAAGCCTTTTTTTCAAGTCTTGTTCTCCTGGATTATATAAAAAATTGCAATGAAAAATAGAAACACTGTTCCTTTTATTTCTCTTGTGTGGTCTAATTTTCATTTTTCATAACAAAAATAGTACCAAGGAAAGTAAATTAATTTTGTTTGCCTGGTTTATATCAGGTATAGTTTTAAGTATTTCCCAATATACTGGTTGGTTGTTTTCTGACTGGTAGTTTTTTGGGTAATGCTTACGTTGCAGATATTCTTTATTAATAATTATATGCTTTTAATGGAAGTTTATTGCTTAGTAAAATAAAAATTTTAATAACTGTGACATAAATAACAAATACAAATTGTTTAGTCCTGCCCCAGATGTTTTTGATACATGCTTAATAGTATCTTTTTAAAACACCTTTATCAGCTGAAGGTCTTTTTTAAACTTTCACTATATATTCTAAATTCACAATTTTACCTTCATTTTTTATTTTTGTGGGTATAGAGTATAAAGGCATTATATTTATTCACTTAACACTTGCTAAAACACTCAATTATGTAATTCATTAAATCACTAATACTTGTTTAGCTGACATTCAGTGATACTGCAGATTCAAAACTCTGTTATACACCAGTAAATAAACGAGGAAGGCTTTAAGCACTGCAGAAAATCAATCACTATTTTAAAAGTCCCTGGGTTTTATGCCTTAGGAATGTCATGAAGCCACTCAATTTTAGGTCTTTGCTCAGAACCTATTAATCTAGAATTATGTATAAAATAAGGATAGTGAAACAGCAAGCTGCATTTCAGCAGATTTGTAGTAGTCATTTTGTTTGCTCTCTAGAAAAGACATATTGGTAGCACTCTGAAGGAAAGGGACTTAAGTGCCATAAAAGGACAACTTTCTGAGGTTATTTAATATAGGTGTAAAACAGAGTCAGGCATTTCAGAAGTTTCATGTGATATCCTTGAAAATATTGATATAATCTAAGAGGTAGAATAGAAAAATGTTCATAAAACATTATATTGAAGTATATAATCCTAGAATGTAGAAAACTGTATATTTTTTAGAAATATTTCCATTAAAAATGGTTTAGACCCTTATTAGATTCTTATATGTTCATATATACATATGTATGTATACTTTGTATATATACACATACATATTTTTATATATACACATATGTATATATATATATATATATATACACATATGCACACCAGCTGTTTTAAAATTTATCTCTGTGATGTATTTCCCAAACAACATTTATATTAGAATATTTTCTCCTCAACAAAGCTGTTTTTAATATATTTAATGTTATATGCTCATAAAGGACTGATTCTGTCCTTTAATAGGAAAGAATAGTCTTTTAACCAGGGTGTTATTTACAATTTTTGCAGAAGCTGTTTAGTTTTAGTGAGTTGTCTGTTCTTCATGAGTCTAAATAGAAACTTAGTTAAGTAAATTTGCTAATTGTTTTCTATGCTGCAGGTAAACATAATGTATGCATCTTAACTTGTTCCCGTATTATAAATTAGGGTTTTTTATTTGTTTTTAATGAGTAGTTTTATGCATAATGTACTTAATTTATAGCATGTATTGTAAAAGCAAAAGATTTCTTCAAAGATCCTAGAGTTTTCCTGTAAAGTCTTCTACCTCACTTCCATATTCCAAGGTATATGCATATTTCCTTCCTTTACAGGAACAAGTAAAAAGGTGAAAGAATACATAGATTACAACTTGACATTATAGTCTTTGAAAGCATGTTTATAAGAAAATTTTAGGTTACATACAGGGTTTAATTGATTAAATTTTGTGACTCTAAATTTTTAACTTGTCCATGACTCTTAGAATTTGCATATTATTTTTTTCTTTTTAAGATTTTATTTATTTGAGAGAGAGAGCTCAAATGTGGGGAGGAGCAGAGGGAGAGGGACAAGCAGACCCTGTGCTGAATGCTCTAAATACTCTAAAACAGTATTTAGAGTCAAAGCAATTTTGTTACTCATCATCAAGGCAGGGGCCCAAGATAGGGCTTAGTCCCAGAATGCTGAGATATGACCTGAGCCAAAACCAGGAGTTGGACACCCAGCTGACTGAGCGACCCAGGCGCCCCGCATATTAGTTTTAAAATATGTTTTCTGCTCTTCAAGAAATAGAAATTCTTGGGACTGTACTTAATGGGGATAATCTTAATGAGATTACTAACATATAAATTATTCCCCTTTAAACTGCCTAGAAGGTTTTTTCATGAATAGCCGATAATGGCTACAAAGCTTAATGGTAGCGATAGACCGTAAATGTTTACATTTTAGTATCATTCTTTATTTTTCTATGGAGACCAATACTGATTATGATAGATGTTAGTTGTAAGAATAACTTTACTGGATGTTTATACTAATATTAAATACTAGTTTGTCTGCCATCATTTGGGAATAAGGTGTTTCACTTAATTTTCTAGATAACCAAAACCTGAACTTTAGGACGATATTTCTTTTATTTTTTAAATTTCTTATTTTAATTATTGAATGACAAACTTATGTGCCTCCTTTTACTATATTGAAAAAAATTTTAACCCTTTTTGATGAGTCAAGGATCATTATGAATATCCATAATTATACTGATATTCTAAAAATTTATTGATATCAGTAACTCTAATTAAACATTTACCAAAAGACCTTTATGCTATATATTTTGAAGGTGTGTGTGTGTTTTTTTGCTTTTGTTCTCTTTCCTCATTGTCTGTTGTTTCTTGTGTTTGTCCATGTATTTGCCCTAGCTGATACACGGTGAATTACAAAGCAAGTAACAATATTTATAAGAATTGGACTCATAGTAAGGACCTGAGAGACTTTCTTAATATTAATTAAGAAATTAAGTGCATGAACTTGTGATGCATTGCCTGTGGGCTTCGTTCACTATTGCCAGACAAATAGAGTATTAATTTTGATCTTCATAAGAAGTTATCACTGTCAAAACTAAAACAGTATTTAGAGTCAAAGCAATTTTGTTACTCATCATCAATTTTTATATGTATAATAATGGCTCCAATAAAAAGGGGATGTATTCCATATAGACATTTGCTTGTCATGAATGCCATTGCTAAAGATAGAAATATTTATGTGATAGAGGATTTAACATGAATTTGTACACACACCTCACTTCTTTAGAAGATTTCTTCTCTGCAGGGCCTTTCCAGGTAGTTTTTCCTACCAAAGCAACAAGGAAGAATTATCCCACTCTTCACCCCTTGTCAGCATGTCATTATAAAAGCTTTCCTAACCTCTTGGAGGTTTTGAGGTACTCATTGTATTAGAAGATTTACAGTCTTTTAAAATCTAGATTGTTGACTTATTCTTGTAAGGCAGCTAATTTCATTTATAGTTAATAATGTAAGGGGAGAAAAATACTTTAGTTTTCTTGAGTTTGTTCTAGCATACTTGGTACCATTACTTCATGTAGGAACTTATTCAGAAAAGGCTCAGCATCCTTTGGATCCTACAGTGTTACATATCTAATTATCTACCTGAGATTTGTTTAAAGTGAGATATCTGGTTGAGATAAATAGAAGTATATAGCTTGAAAGTTTTTAAATTTTGTCTTTCTCATGATCATTGAGATCATAGGATTCTTTAATTAGCTAAAGGAGAAATCATAATAACATTTTTATTTTTGTGGTTTTAATCAAGAGATAAAATTTGCATTTTGCCTAATTATTTGGAAAATATCTTTTTAAATTGAGGAAATGTATTAGTTTTCCAGAAAGATAGAACTAAGATATTGATAAATTTGCCTGATCCTATTGTATTTGAAATTTATTAGATATTATTACTCTCTAAATAATCAAAATCGGAAAATTTTGTAAGACTTATAACAAGTGGTAGTATCTCTGAGTTTTACATGTGACCCTTTTTTTTTCCGATATCTGCCTAATTTCCTTAATGTCTTATGTCATATTTTAGATTTTCAAATAGGTTTCAACCTATTTTTCTTTAATAAGGAGAGATCCATAAAGAAACTGGATATAAAGGAAAAGTGTGAACAATTTGGCCAAAAAGTACAAGATATTATTTATAAGAAAAGAAGCTTTGTCTGGATTGTATAATGATGAATGATAGTCTTATCAATATAGAGAAACTGAAATTTAAAATACAAGACATTTTTTCTTTTCTAATACATCTTTTGGTAGTTAGATAACTCAACACTTAGTATAAATATCACAGTCAATATGTTAAAAAAGCTATAAAACTGCCTTGCTCTTTGATCTTCATCCTGTTTGGAATTTAATTTTTATTTTCCTCATTTCATGCCCCCTTCCTCCCAAAAAAAGAATTTACACAGTGGTGTGTTCAGCAGACTACCTCTAATAGTGAAAATTTGGAAAAAGCCTCTATGTCCAACAGTGGGAAGATGACTAACCAGTGTTAACACAGTGGTATATCATATAGCTAGTAAAATAAAATATTAACAGATCATTGTTACTATATGGAAGTATTTGTGAAATGTTAAATTTTTTTAAATACACAAAATAAGATGAGCCTAATGATTACAATAAATAAAAAGACTTGTTAAGAAGAATTGGAAGGGAATTTCAAGTAATGAAGAAAATTAATCTTTATTATGTTCTTAAGATAATTTAAATTTATCATATAATAATAATATTTCTCTTGCCTAACCAAAGGCTGTACATTAGAAAGATCAAACAGAGAAATCAGAAGCTTGGATCAAATGGTGACACCCCATTTTTGGGTCACAGAGTGCTGTATAAGCCACTAGTTAACAATCAGGTATGATCCCAACCCCTCCCCCTTCCCCAAGGAGTCTTCTGGCAATGTCTGAAGACATTTTCGGTTATTGAAGAGGTGGTACTGGCACTTAATGGATAGAGCCCTGCAGTGCTGCCAAAAGTATCCTACATTACAGTGATCCTATAAGGCAGATGATAACGCCCTGC